AGGTAATCCATTGCATAGTAAAGTCTCCATCTTTGTTAAGCTTATAGGTTAATTTTCAGGATTTTTTAGATTTCTTGTATACTTTAAAGAGCTCCAGGGGCCTAGTGAGTAAGGAGTTTCACTGCCAACTCAAAGGCAGACAGTTAGAATACACCTTCGAGGCAGATGGACAATCTCCTCCTGTGTGATTTAACACCTCTGAAACCTCACTTGAGGGTCAGCTATGACTTGCTTCTGACTCAACAGCAAAAAACAATGATCATTAATAAATACTTTTACTTTGATGTTATTTTAGGTATTTATTATATAATTTTTAATTTTGAAAACATTGTCTGAAAAATGCAACTTCTCTGTTCCTCAGCATCTACATTATTTTATAGCATCTTCTCAAATGAAAATTCGGACTAGAACAGACACTTTCTCCCATCCCCAAATCATATAGTTTATGTTTCTCACTGTATTGATAAGAAACCACAGATTTTATCAGTTCATCAAGGCACAAAGAGAATGAAGTCTCTTTTAAGTTATCCACCATCCTTCACTTGTAGAAAGATCAGGAGCAAAACTTGGGCTCTTAACCCCAGTGGCCTAGGCCCTTAACTAAGCAAACACAAACCTATTCACACACAGGAGAACAATAAAATCGAATTCTTTACACAAAATAAGAAGCTTTTCATTCTTAAAAATTAACACATATTTCTAAGTGAGAATTTAAGGTAGATGAAATCAGAGTATATACATACACTCAAGCAATGAATTTAAAACAAAACCCCAAAAATAAATGAAATAAATATCATGCACCATGAAATGGCAAGATGGTCAGCAATGCCTATTTTGCTCCTTCTATACATGTTTGCTTTGTGCTAGATTTTGAGGAAAATGCTAGTCTATAGCCATGATTTAAGAGTCTAAGTTAACTTTCTAGATTTCCTGGTATAGAAGAATAGTGTGTTTGAAAGATCTACTTCTAACTAAATCTGTTCAGTAAGCCTATTTTTGACCTCATGAATCTTTCAACTAAGCAAAGTATTTGAAGAAAAGATCTAATAGCATTAAAGAAAATGAAAAGATGCAACCATAAGCAAATGGGACTATTTAATACATTTCACCGTGAATTTCTGCTACATGCATATGAGTGCACTCTTTTCTAAAAGCACGTAATTGACTGGTTAAGGTCAAATTCTCTTAAGGCCATTAGCGCTCAGTGTTTTCCCAGGAGTTCCCTTCGCCTGCTGTGTGTGGCTGGTCTCTCTGCAGCTTTTCCTCTGCGTTAACGTGGGCCTTACCTACACAGCCCTCTCCATCCGGCTTCCGTGTCATTCCCGGCGGGCAGATGCACATGAAGGTGCCGATCAGGTTCTTACACATCATGCCTCTCGATTCACAGTCGTGTAGCCCTTCTGCGCATTCATCCAAATCTGTAAGGTATTGTTTAATAGGAGAAAAAGAGCTAAACAGGAAGGGCAGACCAGTATTCTTGCTTTGAAGATGAAGTCTATGTTTCTAACAGGGAGCAAAAGAGTGAGCTCCATCTTTTCTGGCTGTTCAGATTGGTAAATGTCTCAGCACTCATCTTAAAGAGAAGTTTAGGAAAGGGAGGCCTTTGATTTAGGAAAAGCCTAACAATGTGATAATGGCAAGTTCATCAACCTGTCTTGTTTTGGACTTTTCATGGGCCATGAAGTGTAATGACATGAGAAAATCTGTTAGCAAGACTGGGTCATATTGTATTTCTGTAAAGTTGGAGAAGATAGTGAAAGACTATAAAAGCCTTAAAGTTAGTTGCCAAGGTGGGAATGAAGTGTTACTGTTCCAGCTAGAGTGGCCTTACCTTTGCACATCTTCTGGTCTTCCCTGAGGGCATAGCCAATCGGACACGTGCACTCATAGGACCCGAAGGTGTTCATGCAGCGGAAAGCACACAGCAGCGGGTTCTGGGCACACTCATTGATATCTGGCCAAAGAAATGGGCAGGCATGTGCTCAGCCAACTTTTCTGATTATTTGTTTATAAACTCACCAGTGGATTTACTTAGAGGCCAGAGAGAAGGTAACATGAGGACAGAACCTCTATCTGTGTTTATATGACTGCTATACACTCTGGACAAAATGTAAAAAAACAAAAACAAAACCCCCCAAAATGCCAAAAGACTCTTGACACTGACTGGACAAAAGTAGGGAGTTGAAAATAGGCAAGCAACATCAAGAAGTAAATGCCTGACGTTTTATTTAAATATTAACCTAAGGGTGACCACAGTACTTTGCAGCTGACTCTTTCCACCTTTCGTTTCCAGAGGAGTCAGGGGAGGGCATCTTGGGAACAATCAGGGTGAGTAGAGTGGGAGGGGAAAATCAACTGGATAGGCGAGACCAGGGAAGTAACACTTTTTTGTGTGATAAACTAAGCCCAAGTTGATGGATGCACCAGACATGTATGGAACAAATTCAAAGAAGCAACTAAAGTTTAAAAAATGGAATTCAAATCTGAGCCACAAGCATGGCAATCTACTGTTTGCGTCTACTCAAGTTAATTGCCTAAAGGGGGAAAAAAAAAAAAGAAAAGAAAAGCATCAACATTTCTTGGAATACTAGAAATTATTCCCGAGACTATCAGGCACGATATCTTGGTTTAAACCCAAATTAACCAACATACTGGAGAGCCAGGAAAATGTGACCCAATCTCAAGGGAAAAGACAACCAACTGATGCCAGTCCCCAAACGAACCAGATGCTTAATCAGGCAAGGGTTTTAAAGCAGCTATTGTTAACTGTGCTGATGAATGAAATGAAAACACACTCCTAATTATCATGAGCATTCCATAGAATAATATAAAGAGTGAGATATGTGAAACAATCTACATCAAGAAGGAATAATGCTTCAGGGAAGGAGAACTTGCCTTCACAGTTCATCATGGGGCCAGGCTCAAAGCCATCATTGCAATTGCATTCGAAACTCCCAATGACGTTGGTGCATGTACCATTTCCACATGGATTGCCAATTGAACATTCATCAGTATCTGGAAAAGAGTAAGCATGTGGCACAAAGTTAGGCAATACTTACGTTCAACAGGTACCGTGCCCATGAATACAAACACTCGCCCTCAGCCATGTGCAGGACACATGAAGGGCACACCTAACTCTAACACAGTGAATGCAGAAAATCCTGAAGGCTCCAATATACCATACCCAGAGCCCCACAGCCATGCTGTCACGTAGACCACCAGTGCAGAAACGTGACAGAGCCTTGGCTACAACAGGAGGCATGGGAGGTCCTAAAGTGAAGGTGATCTCTCCCTCAGTAGGGGGCTTGGGCATTTTCAAGTCTCCAGAAATCCTCTCCTGTACTGTGTACAGCCACTGAAAACCCACTGATGGGCCAACTGTGTTTGTTCTGACACAGTGACAATGAAAGAGTTTTTTTTTTCTTTTCAGATACATCAACACTTGTATGTTTGTGGGAGAACAGAAGTTGGGAAACTCTTCCCATCTTACATAAACCAGGCTAGAATGAAAATATAGGGTGGACAAAGGCAGAGGTGCCAGGAGCTGGTTATCCTGGCTTTGAAAATCCTGCCACCACCCAGGATATTTGAGAACTCTTTTGCTGAATATGAAAAATGGAAGAGAACTTTAACATGATGAACTGTGGAACCCATACTTACCTACACAGCGCACTCCCGTGTAATCAAGATTGTAACCCATGGGACATTCACAGCGGAAAGATCCATCCGTGTTGATACACTGCCCATTGGAGCAAATACCCGGGCTCTCAAGACATTCATTGACATCTGAAAATTAGGAATGCACATAGATATGAAAAAAAGGGATGCCAATACTGTAGACATCATCTGACACAGACTGAAACTTTTTATAACATCTAAAAGATTTCTTTTACCAGAGAAATATGTTGTATCATAGCAAAATATGATTCTGATGATAAATACAACATATGACATACAATATTTTCTATTAAATATGACATAAGGTAGTATCAGATAATAAGCATTACTTATAAAATAAGTATAATCATATAAAGAAAAGAATACAGAAAAAAAAATCAAACCATACCTTCTCGGGTATCATGGAGACTAGGGACAGTTCCGTGGCCATATGGACACAAATCCTGGAATGCAACTACAGAGAAGAACACAAATTCTGCCATCACTGGAGAATCTGAACTCTCAAAAGTGTGATAGTTGATGACAATACACATAGGGTTGTGCTTAATTATTTTTCTCCACAAATCTGTCTTGAATAAGACTTCAAGCTCTGTCCAGGGTACCATTTGCCGACTGTACCTGCTTCTTTCTGTCAATTAATACTGAGTCGTCAGAAGCCACCTCTAACCCCAGGGACTAGCTTGCTAGTTTTCTGCCTGCTGTGATGGGACCTCTGGGGCTGCCTGTCCCTTCCTGAAACCAGCCATTGTACGACCTCAGCCTCTAAGAATCTTAGGTAATTTTCTGAGAATCACTGCCGTGATACAAGACCCACGTGGGACTCCAGCCACAGTTGGGGATCTATATTTCCATCTCCTCCTCACATCTCTCTCTTTTTTTTTTAAGATTTAAACTGATAGGTGTTTAATACAGA